GAGGGCTTTATTTTATTTTGTCATTATTGTTGGGCGTTTTGTTTGTTGATTTTGTTTTTCTGTACATGATGAATTTCAGGTTAGGTAAACCTATAGAGACAGTAACTGGATTAATAATTACCTAGGGACAGGGCAGAAGGGGTTAGGGAAGTGGGGAGCAACCAACAATAACTAGAAGAAAGAAGAAAAAAATTATAAAAGTAATTGTGCTGATGACTGCACAACTATTCTTAATACGACTGAACTACTAAGTGATATGGTATGTGACTTATATGCCAAAAGATGATTATTGCTGCTATTGTTGTAACATTCTAATTTGGTACATGTGCAATGACACTGGAATGATCATATAGTTTGGTGTTATTATCAAATGCTACCACACAAAAGGGAAAATTAGTAACAGATTATCAAATCACTAAGGTAATTATCTTTATTTCAGATAAGCATCCTTAAGGGCTAAAAAATTCATATAGTAGGAAATCTTTAAGACTTCACATGCTTACTCAAGCATTTTAACACAAAAGCAATAAGGAATCAGGTGTCCAGCAATAAAGGAAAAAGTAAGTCAATTACTGAACATGCTTAGTTAAAAAAAGTGAGAGATTGAAAAAATGACATACAAGGTGATTTCAACCAAATAAAAAGAAGAGGGGGCTTCAAAAAGTTCAAGGTGTTTTTCCACAAATTGTTTGAAGCCGCCTTGTATATTCACTATAAAATGACAGGAATAAATAATTACGGGAGTAGTTAGAAAGTGGGTATAGTAACTACCTGTTTTATAACTGTAGAAATGAAACTCAAAGAGGTTACACAAGTTGCTTACATTCGCACAACTTTAAATGGCGGATTCAATAACTCAATCACCCAATCTGGGTCCAAAGTTCATTCCCTTAACCACTAAGCTACACTACCTTATAAACAAAAAACATGGGCTTGGGACCAGATGTCAACCCAGTGTGCCAAGATGTGAATCCAACATACCAGTACGAAAGCAGGAAACCAACAGAGAGGTCTGCGGGGCCAGCCCCAATCCCAACTACATGGACATTTTCCCCCTCCCCCCAGATGTATGCACTTCAGAGGACAGCACTGGGGCTATAGCTCAGGGAGAGGGGCACATCTGATCAGAGCAGACAGGAGCAAATGAAGAGGGAAGGAGAGAGTGTGGAACACATCCTGGCCCACCAAGCCCCGAGGACATTATTCCTGCTCAGAGTAGCCAATGCACAGAAGGACCATATGGCCAGCCCCACACTGAGACACGACGTCCCTCACTGACCCATAGTGCTACGGGGTACAACACTGGAGACACAGTGCAGGAATTGGGCCTGGTCTGGGGCGAAACACTAAGGGCATGCAACAAAGCAGCAAGGGGAGCAAAGCAATGAAGTCCAGGGGAATACCAAAAAACAGACTCCAGGGTCAGGGTGTGGCACCCCATCAGACTGGACCAGAAAACACTCACAAAGGTCAACAAATATACCTGGAACTATTTATAGGCTTTTCTCTTTTTTTGGTGATTGGGTTTTTTGTTGTTGATTTTTTGTGTTGTTTTGTTTTGCTCTGTCTTGTTTTTGTGTTTATTATTGTCTCTGCATGTCTATATAGATAAGATAGGCGGAATAAACAATCCCAAGGAGAAAACAACAGGACCAATGGTTCTGGGGGGACATGGGAGAGGGGGAGGCTGGGGAAAGAAAGGGGTCTGTCAACCAATCCAGGGTCAAGGCAACAACCAGTAATCTAAAATCAATGGTGAGGAGGGTATGGTAAGGCTGGTGGGGCTTGATCAAGGGCAATGTAACAGAGAGGAATTACTGAAACTCGAATGAAGGCCAACATGATAGTGGGTCAAGAGGAAAGTATAAGGAAATAGAGGAAAGAACTAGGAGGCAAAGGACATTCATAGAGGTCTAAATACAGGCATGTACACATGTACATATATTTATATGTAACAATAGGGAATAGGTCCATGGTACATATATTTGTTTATTAAGGTAGCAGGTGCACACTGGGCCTCTACTCAAGTACTCTCTCAATTCAAGAACACTTTGTACTAATGACCTGGCATTCTGTGATGCTCACCCTCCCTACACAATCACTGAAGACAAAATGGGTGTATAAGCAAATGTAGTGAAAAAAGCTGATGGTGACTGGATATCAAAAGATAAAAGTGTCTGGAGTCTTAAAGGCTTGAATATAAACAAGCAGTCATCCAGCTGAGAAGCAACAAAGTCCCCATGGAAGAAGCACACACCAGCTGAGTGATCACGAGGTGTCAATGGGACCAAGTATCAGGCATCAAAGATCCAGAAAAAGAAATCCTAT